AGCTATTTGGAAAAATAAATTCCATTTGGATTTTCTGTGAACGGGAACATGCAGCTCATGCCCACTGTGAAGTACAGCAGCATGACATTCATCTGACATGCTGTGCCAATGACTTCATGTGCTATGAAATACCAGGAAGTTTATAGATCAAAATTAGTAAGTGTCTTCCAGGAAAACCGGACCGGATCATCACTGGATCTTTTAACGGGTCGAGGATTTAACCTATACAGCTGGAACAAGGTGGACAAAGTCAGACTAAATGTTAACCTTTCTTGATGTCTCAGGCAAACGGCTTTTCTGAAAATCTTCCATCTGACCAAGAAGGGAAAAAAAAAGGAAGGACTTAATCAGAATGCAGTGCTGTTGCTAAGTGGAGTCATGAATACCAGGGGTGGTGATTGTTTTGCCTGTGGTGATTTAGTTAAAAAGGTGATCATTTTTAGAAGGTAATTTTAAGTCCCACTGAACTAATGTGCTTCAACTAAAAGCTGTATTTATTTATTTTTTTTCCAGTCTGAGATAAATTCTATTGCTGCACACTGGTTCAGGTGTTTTACTTCTTTTTTAATTTTTTTTACCCTAAAATTATTTAATGAACCCTAAATTAGGAAACTATAAGTGCTAAATGTTGCTTCCTCAGGTAGTGATGCAAATTACTATTTATTACAGAGTAATTAATTTATCCTTATTGCTGATTTGCAATTTTTTTAACCTTGATCTGATAAAATCTGTGCTCATGTTTTTTTTCTGTGGAGTTTGTGTATATTGTTAAATTTTTATTTGATTTTTCTACTTCTCAACCAGGATTTATTCCTTTGCAGGAATGTTTTTAATCTTCTCATGAAACCAAAACTTTAGAGTTATGGGTCTGTTGAACTTCATTGATGTTTTGTATCCTATCATTAATTCAGACTCGCATAGTAAATGATCAGGAGCCTAAAGCAGCTGTTGGGAACTGCTGCACAGCTGTCCAAGTGCAGCACAGCGGCAGAGCTCAGCTGCTGTAAACTCGCTCTCACTCTGGTGGAGAAGCACATTCATCTCCACTGATTGTCCTGGAAGAATATGTGGCCTAATCACCACTGCAGGGGCAAATGAACCATCATTTGTTAATCACAGTGAAATAGAAGGACAGTTATCTTTATTCTTTCCATTTTTTATTTATTTTTTTGTTTTTTTGTTTCCCACAGCAGTTTTATCAAGAAGCAGTTTTGATTTCAGGTTTGCAGAAATTCATAGGATTTTGAGATCTTGGCTTCCACTGCTTCTTTTAATAATCTTTAATCAATTTTTATTAAATCAAGGATGCCTTTGGAGTGCCAGACTGCACAAAGACGCTCAGACTGTCTGAGGAGTGTTTCCACAGAGCAGCTGGAAACAGGCCCTGCACCCACAGAAGGCAGATCCTAAAACTGTTTGGTTCTGGCAAGGGAAGAGTCTGTTTAACTCGCAGTTAAACACGCAGCGAGTGACAGCTTGCAGTTAGAACCAGCGACATTTGGACGACGGCCTGGTTCAAGTTAGTTTAGCTGTTTATGAGAACATGCTGTAGGAAGTTTAGAACTGCGTGTTCAAAAGTATCTGTTAGACGGAAAGTGCCGAACACAACCTAACTACCCCAAATGGACTCAACTGCTTGATAATTTATAAGACGTTGATAGAGAGAAAGGATTTGCCTGCAGATTTCAGTATTGATCTGTTTCCTTTTATTTATTTTTTAACCCTGTTATCAATAGAGTGATGAATCAGAGCAAACGCACGATAGCACACCGCCGCCTCTTCTTTCCATCATTCAACCACAGATTGATTCTGCCTCTTTCTGCACAAACCCCCTCCAGAACTACCAAAGTCTTTAAAGATGATTTCAATTAGACAAAGGCTTAAGGGGAGCATGGATATTCTTATCTGTCTGCTTTTGCTCTCATTCATCAACTCTATCCTCGTAGCTGTATAAAGGTTTTTTTTATTGATCCTTTTCCTTTTATATTTAGAGTCTTTATTAGTCTTTTTATTACCTTTAGTATTTTAACAGTAACAATGTTTGATGATGTACAAACATGTAATGTGTAATGGGTTTGAGTACTTGTAGATGTTTTTAGAGGCAGAGAAAACCTGACATTGTTCCACATGGTGACAAAAGCGTTTGGTGAAGGCAGGGTGATGGTTAGAGGCGGTGTCTCCATCAATGGACAAACAGGACCTGTCATCATTGGAGGCAATCTCAGTGCAGAGATAAATCAGGATAAGATTGTTTAACCAGCTGTGAGGAAAGATCTAACCTTCAAGATGTACAACCTTATAGATGCAACCACTCTGGGCATACTCTACCGAAATGTAAAGGTTTGTAGTAACTAGTTATATTTATGCTGTATATTTGTATGCATTTTGGCTACAATTTGTTGCTTTTCACCGACATAAACAGCACAGCAAAATGGTATGTTTGGGGTTGACATGATTTAAAAGGACAACACCCACAAATGTGTCACATTTAAAGGGAACAAGTCCTTAACAGGATATGGTGTATTGCCTAAAAGTATGATTATGGTAAAAATATACAGCCAACCCAAACAGGATTCCTTATCTGTTCTAATAAGATTGTTTGATATCACAAAACATCATATTACTCTAAGCTTTGAGCTTGATTCGGAAACATTTTGTGCATGTAATTGTATTACGCATTAAACAAAGAAGGCACAAAAAGTTTCATGGTAAAAAATATAAAAAATGCATACAAATATCCTAGGGAAAAAGTTAGTTCTCTTGTTATAATGTTGATGTGGCAGAAAGCTCCACTTTTGGAAAACATTTAGGACAGCAACATCCCCTATTGTGTGTTGTGACTTGAAAAAAAATAATCAATTACTGTCCATTTGCCTCTCAGGTTCTGCTTCAATCAGTAACAGGAGGATTGCTGGCAATTCCACCATTTAATGAAGGGCTGGCCCAGGGCATAAGCATACTAAACGACTGCTTAGGGCCCCAGGGCAACAAGGGGAGAACGTCCCTTATAAAGCAAAGACTGGAGCAACCTGTTGCAGATGGAACTAAATAAAATTAACAGCATTAAATTTGTACTGTTTTAAGCAGCATGTCAATTTATTCTATTACTTTTAGTAACACATTTAGTTTTACAAATAGGAGACTATAAGCATCACTGTCAAAGCTGCATTGAGTTTATAGTAGGTGTGAGATGATCTGATCTCTGGAGTGTCAAGTTACTGCAATCCATATTACTGGAAAAAATGGAGGTCCCCAATATCCAATTTTCCACAGGGGCCCATGGATGCTTGGGTTGGCCCTGGGTTACTGTTTAGTGCAGTGTATTATCAGAAAGGAAGTAAAATTGGTCCATTTCTATGAAGGGAATTTGGTTCTGTAGCTGTTTGCAAGCATAAACAAGCTTATTACATGGAAATAAAAAAATGTAATCCAGAAAATTGTTCTTAAAAAAAATGAGAAAAATGTATCAATTTTCTTTGATTTTATCATTTAAAAAAAAAGTTAAACTTTTTTTTTTATGTGCTTTTCTATTTAGAGTTAGGAGCAAAGCCATATTTCTATTGGTCTGCATGGGTGTTAGAAACAACATTTTTGTTGGTCAATATGCTCATCCAGGGCATTTGTATTTTTTTTTAAAGCAAAAAGAATGTGATCAATAAAACTCTATCTGAAAAGATGTATTCGAAAAAAGTAAAATTTGAAAATATAAAATCAGTACAAAATTGTTGGAAAAAAATAAGATTTGAAAAAAATATGAAAAACATTATTTAAAAAAATTAAATCTAAGGAAACGAAGTAATGTATAACAATGACACAAAACACACTCCTCAGTTTCCTGCCACCAGCTGCTTTGCCAAACCGTCTAACAACACTGCCTTTGTACATAGGCCTACCAACATTTAAAATTCCCAATCAACATGGTAAATAAAATAAAATGACTTCCTTTTTACCCCAAATCATTTGACCTCTTGCCATGAAATAAAGACAAAACTTGACGTTAAGAATCTGTAACAACAGCCCATCAGTGTGCAGTAAAATTGTGATGCGCATGTACTTCCTGCAGAGGATGAGGGGAGCCCACATACCCCCACCCATGTCCCAACCCCATAACATTATCAATGACACCTCACACTCCCACCATGGACTGTTCTCCCTGCTGCCCTCTGGGAAGAGGCTTCGCAGCATTCAATGTGGATCAAGCAGATTTCAGAACTGCTTCTTCCCCACTGCCATTAGACTGCTGAATGTTGTATAAAATGGGGTTATATATATATATATATATATATATATATATATATATATATATATATATATATATATATATATATATATATATATATATATATATATATATATATATATATATATATATATATAAAAAACAACTGAATATTGGAAACTGTAACCCACACTGAAACTGTAACAGTCATAGTTTACACTTATTGCTGCTGCATGCCTTTTATCACTGCTGCACTTTAAAAAATGAAAATTCTTGAAAGCAGTACTGAACGAAATTTCTTTTTTTGTATAAACTCTGTGTGTATAAAGTCTGTCTAAGTGATGGAAAGGGTTTCATCGGGTTAAAACTGAAAAAAAAAAAATGAGTGTCGATCTCATTTTCAGCACCATGGAGAGAGACAAGTCAAGCGGTCATATTCAAATTTGGCGAAAAGTTGTAAAAACTTTTAAGTAGCTTGTTTTAAACATCTCATACATCTGCACTTTTTTCACTTTTAATGCACTCATTAAAATATTTAGGTCTGATTAAAATCATGCCAATATTGACGCTTACATGAATAAAACCGCATTAAAATGTTCTGGAACATTTTCCGCTTTTACAATAAAGGAGAAAATATTTCCAAAATGAAAAATTGAGTTTCAAGCTACAGAAGAACGACGTCTTTAATATCCCTCCTCTCCTAATTGATATTCCCCGCTGGAAGCCGCAGAACCTCCCACATAGAGCAATGTTCCTCCGCCGCGTATAGAGCCAGCTGAACGGCGAACGTGAGTCAGTTTGTCAGGCAGCTGGCAAAGGAGAAGGCTGCGCAGACTTTTCCCTTTCCCTGCATCCCCAGCACTGCACAGAAGGAACCGCTCTATTGGATTTTAAAATAAAGAAACTAAAGAAAATTAAATAAAATTTCGCCAGGCACTCTACCCAATGTGAACAGTAAAAAAGAGGCATTATAGAAGAGAAAACAGCAGAGAGATGGGAGCGTTCAGGCTGCTGCTGGGGAGTTTACATTACCTGGGACTCTATCTGCAACTTAGTGTCTCCACAAGGCAGACTGCACACCGAGACATGGAGAACCACATCTCTGGGAACGGTAGGTGTTAGATCAGCCTTTTCTTCCTCTTTTCTGGGTGTTTGAGCCCCTCAGGAGAGCAAAGGAGAGGCTGGCACAGGTAATGTCATCTGCTCACCGGCAGAGGAGAAGGCAGACAAAGAGCAGGCTTCAAAAGGCTGGTGCTGAAAAATATGCAACTAATGCAAATGAGTGTTTTCCTTCTGTCTGTAACTGAGACCAAAGAGGTTTTGTTTGTTTTTTATGTGTCGCTTTTCACAGGAAGTAAGTTTCTTTTTGTGCAAAGACTGCGTCAACCTGTAAGTCCCAAATAATTTCAGTTTAAAATTCAGATTCTGTCAGCGTCCTGAGGTTGTTTTTTATCCACCTTGGTCCAGTTGCTATGGACATGATTTTGTTTTCTCTGCTCATTCCCTCCTTCCTATCAGTGGCTAATGGATTGATGTTGGTATTTCTGTATCAGTGTCCCACAGAAATCTATACTGTGCGGATCCGCCTCCTTTTCCCCAACCAGGAGCTTTCCTAAATGGCAAATGTAGTGTTTGCTCCTGGACGCGTCACAGAGTAAATGTCTCAACCCTCTGATTTCTTAGTTGCTTTACTTTGGCCTGTCAAGTTTGAAACGGACATAAATGATAAGTTCTATGGTATAACTAAACTGTAGGGTGAATAAAAAAGATCCAACATATAAACTAATTGTAAAGCAGAATAGGTGTGGTAGACTTTAAAAAACTGGGGCAAGGTTGCACCACTCACTGAATGTGATTAAGTCAAATAATTGTAAAATATATTATATATATTGGAAATAAAAAAAATAAGACTAGATTTCCATTTTAAAATTAAATGTAGTGAAAATAAGAAAAAAAAGAAAAGAAAAGAAATAGAAGAAATTAAATAGATTTGCAGAAAGAAGGTTCCAGGTTTGATTCCCGGCCTGGGGTCGTTCTACATGGAGTCTGCATGTTCTCTCCATAGGTTCTCTCCGGGTACTCCAGCTTCCTCCCACAGTCCAAAAACATGACTGTTAGATCAATTAGATTCTCTAAATTCTCCTTAGATGTTAGTGTGCGTGTGAATGGTTATTTGTCCTGTGTGTGTCTTTGTTGCCCTGCAATGGACTGGCGACCTGTCCAGGGTGTACCCCGCCTCTCGCCCATTGACAGCTGGAGATAGACACCAGCATCCCTTGTGACCCCGCTTGGGATAAGCGTGACGGAAAATGGATGAATGAAACAATCTTGGTAATCATCCCATACCCAGTGGGCAGCAGGTTCTGCCAGGAGAGAGCTGTAACATCTGGAATAATATTTAATTCACCAGCAGACAACGGACAACTTTTACCACATTTAAGCTTCAGCTCAAAAATGGGCTTAAATCAAACCAACAATGTCATCATTTAGTTTAGTTCTCATGCAACCTTCTAAATAATAACCTAACAAACCTTTATTAGGTTTTGTCTTTGGAGCTGCATGTCCAGCCCATGTCCCACTGTTCTGCTTTTGTTTCATAGTTTGAGGTTTAAATGTTGCCCTCTTGAACCATGAGACTAAATGCTATGTCCATATATAAGACTTATATTTCACTAAATGTGATGGTGTGCAGTAAAAACAAATAATCGGACTAATTTAGTAATCGATTAATTGTTAACTGGAGTAGAGAGAGACTCTAAAACATGCCTTTAGGTGACAGATCAACCAACTCTTGAGCAGCAATTATACCAAAATTGTAACAAAAAATAAATAAACATTTTTGCATTAAAGATAATTAAGGTTTTTTATTTATCATCAGGTGGAATCGTTTTAGTTCCACCTGGTTTAATTTCGTAAAAATTCTTTTTTAAGGTACCTTTTGCTTTACGATTATTAATCGATTAATCGAAAAAATAATTGAGAGATTAATTGATTTGCAACTGATAGTTGCAGCCCTAGTAAAGATGAGTGTTGGCCTAGTGGTTAGAGCAGTGCGCTTGTGCTCTTAAACGGTTGTAAGTACCCAGTTTGATCCCCACAGCCTGCACTCTGCGTTCCTGAGCAGGACCCTTAACCCCACATTGCTCCCTGGGTACTGCACAATGGCAGCCCACTGCTCTCAAAGGGGATGGGTTAAAATGCAGAGTGGAAATTTCCCCATTGTGGGACAATAAAGGGATTTACATTACCCAAATATTTAAGTCTGTTAAGAGTAGCACTACTCCAGTTTTTTTTCTTAGTCAAGTGGAAAGTAGTCATAAGAAATATACTTATTTAAGAGAAGAAAAAAAAATGGTTGCTCTAGTGCAAATTGTTGCCTCATAACGTACATCAAGTATAAAAAAATAAACACTTAATAATTCCATAATTACAAAAGACAAACTTGTGCAAAATGAATACTTTACACATCCCTTTCCTTAACATTAACTTGATAAACCAGTCTTTAAATTAGTTACACCACACAATTTTGGAAGGGATAAAAACTAATTTACTGTTATCTGTATTTTCAAGTTACTCATGGTGGGTAGAGTAACCAGAAAATTCACTTACTTTAGTAAAAGTACAGTGGAGTACAATTGATTAAGGTTTTATTTTACCTGATGTATTAAATTTTGATATTTGTAGGCCTGGTCAAGGGACAACAGTTAAAAAGAAGAATTGTAGCTAATAATGACACATTTACAAAAATGTACATCAATACTGTCCTTGTTGGATAAATGATGCTAAAATAGTCCAGAGCCACAATGTGCAATTACAGTAATGTAAGCAGTTATTAAAAGAAAAATACAAAACTTTCAGTTCCTTCTACAGAAGAAAACTGGTAGATTTATTTTTAATCGTCGTTTTATTAAATGTAAAATAAGGTATATGCTTTCCTGCTTGTTTTGTGATGTGTTGCCTACATGTTTTAAATAATCATATCACCAATGATTTGATACCTAAATTATTAAACTCAGGTTTCTGCAGTTTTACTGAAGTGCAGATTTTCCAGTCACACTATTGGAAGAAGTTATGTTAACCAGAATATTTGAGATGTTTAGTCACACAATAGAAACATACTTAAAAGTCTGCATTCACAGGAGAGATTTGTTGATAAATCAAAAAGTTGATTTTACTTTTCTAATTTGGATTGATAAAAAAGTCGAACTAATGTAAATTAGCTCTTAAACTGAGTTGTTTTCTGAGCTGAAGATATCTAAGCAAACTGGAGGTTAGATTATTAGAAACTGATCTGAATATGTAGCAGCTAATACTGTCTCTAAAATCCACTATGAACTTAACTGTTTGGACATGATTGTTATAGATTTACTGTGCAAACCCCACACAGCTCCCTGTTGATGTGGCTGGCATAATAATAGAGAGTCGACAACAACAACAACTGATAGTTTGAGTTGAGTTTACTCTGGATAGTCCCAGGAGTCTGTTTCATGAAGCAGGTTTACTGAAAACTTTTCTAAACCTGAAATAAAGGAAGCTCTGAGTTTTCCGTTTTATAAAGAGTTTGATCAACCAGTTTCAGTCTCAGTGGTAACATTCTCCCCAGAGCTAACCTGGAGTGATTTAAACATGGCTTCCTATTTACAGCTGCATCAGCATTCCTGCTTTTTTATGTCTGCAAAACTTCAAGTATTTCATTGTGCCAAACAAATAGCAAACAAATAAAAAAAATATTTTAATGTTGTGCATAAATCTACATGGACATGCATTAAAAACAATTTTAACAACCAGAAACTGGAAATGTGAGAAATCAATAATAAAACTTGAATTAAGAGTGTGTTTCGCTGAGAGTGGGAAAGTAAGGCTTACTTTTTTATTTACTCCTCTATGGTGAGAATATAAAGAGTCTAACTGGAGGGTAAGGTTAATGGTTGTTTTCGTACCTATGCTGAGAGCTCCTAATTATATGCTGCTTTAATACATTCCATCAGAGAAAATACCAGACAGATTTTAAAAGGGATGATTTAGCTATTTTCTACTTTACGTTGTGAGTCTTAATGCCACTGTTCCTGCTTTTTTATTGTATTATTTAACAAATTAAGGACTTGCAGCTCTATTTGACTTTATACTAAATAGTTCCAATATATTAAATCTGATTAATCTGCCTTGGTTTCTCATAAGCCACCATATCCCAGTAGATATTATTAGCTTTTTAATGTTTTGTCAAAATGTTGTATCTCCATTTGAAAATGGACTTTACTGATCCCTCTTAACATCTGAGAGACACAAATACCAACTGATATGTTGTGTCTGCTAAAAAGGATCAGGTGTGCTGTTTGAAGTTGTTATTAAGAATTGATATTAAGAACAGAGGTATTGTCTAGTCCAGGGGAAATGGTGAGCATCTCTAAAACATCAGTTTATGTTTGCTTTCCTAAAGTGTTTTCATTCCTAATGTTAACATTTTTAAAGTTCTGCAAAATTTCAAAATTTCCCCTACTCCGAAGAGGACAAGAAAAACTGAAATGGATAAAACAAGAGCAACTTGACTGTAATATAATCAGCTTTCCTGTTATCTGCCAAACTCTTTTACTCACATACAACCTAATTGAGTCACAGCCATGTCTCAGTTAGCCTCCAAAATTTTTTTTTTAATTGGAAATAATGTCTACTTACTCACAACTTCACCAAACCATTTTCCAGACTCTACACTGTAAAGTAGATGGGTAACTAGAGAATGGAGCTGAAGAATATTTACTAATATAATAATTTCTTGCAATATACAACTAAAAACCCATTAAGATTTTTTTTTTTTTTAGAAAAAAACTAACTAAAAAGCCAATTAGATTTACTGTGAAAACCTGCAAAAAACCAAACATGATTTGGCACACAGGCACCACTGGGATCTTTGACCACCAACAGTTAGCAATACAGGGGAAGTGTCTTGCACAAAACACAATGGCATTGAAAGCCATAGTTGGGGTTTGAACCAACGACGCTTTGGTTGCTGGGCAAACTCCCGTTGCTACTCTATTTTCCTGTTTTTTACTTGTTTCTACTTGTTTTATATTGGTTGATTCTGTTAACAAATCAAAACACTTCAATCAAATTTAT